GGTTCCGCGACATGGCCAGGAGGGGGCGCTTGCGATCTCACTGTGAGCACTGAGGGCCGCTGTGCGGGTGATGGCCAGCAGGGGGCAGAGTGCGCTTGATGTCCTGTGGAACCACGCCTAGCTTGAGCGGAGGTGGGACCGACGGGCCCTGCGTTAAGGGGGCGGATCCAGGAAGTCCTGGGTGCAGAAGGTGGGGCTGCGTGCCCTACGTGAGAGGAGGCGGGGCCGCGTGCCTTGCGTGAGAGGAGGGGGCTGCACCACCCAGCATTAGAGGAGGGGAGGCCACGTGATATGCGTGAGAGGAGGCGGGGACGCCGCGCTCTGCATCAGAGGCTGCAGCTTCACTCTGTTAGAGCAGACGCACAGGTGCCATGTCACTTGTAACTACCGCGTCCCTGCCAGTGATTCAGACCTTTCTGTTCTCCGACCAGAGGCCCCAAGAGCGAGTGAGGCCTGCCCATCCCAAGACCTGAGGCTATAGTGACTGAGACCTTCCTGTAGCCAGACCTGAGGCCCCGAGGGTGAGTGAGATCTTCCTGTCCCAGCCCCGGGGGCACCGCCTTCCTGTCCACAATCACCTGCCTAGGGGCAGCCGGTCCTCAGAGACCCAGGAGGGGCTCCGTGTGGAAATTTGGAAAAGGGGAATCCACAATTTCCACCTCACCGAGGTCCCCCAGCCCAGGACGTGATGGCCTCTCCACGCTGATGTGGTATCAGACTCTCACCCTGGCGCTTGGTTGCACCGCTGTGCTGAGCTGAACGTGGGTTTCGCTCAGCCTCTGTGAGGCAGTTTGGCCTCCTCTCTGCCTCACTGACACGGTGTTGATGTGGTTGTTTATAAATGTAGTTTCGTTCCAATAATTTCATACTTCCAGGGAACGTGCAATCGCAGCACAGAGTACTCATTGTCCTGCCTTCAGAGTCCCCAGCGTCATTGCTGTGAGAGATTTTCTACTTCACAGTAAGTACTCCCGTGTGTTTTACAGCAGCAACACTCTCCCAGGTGACCACCGTTAACCCCCAAATCAGGAAATACACGTTTCTCCGTGACAGTCCAATCCGCTAGGCCCACTTCACTGCCTTCCCCAAGTGGGAGAAAAACGTATCTTTTCCTTTGGTTGCAGTTTTCTTTTTCTGGAACTGTTTCTGAGACTGTCCCTCGGTCTCCCAGCCTTAGCAGGTCTAAAGAGCAGAGATGACTCCAAGGTGGGTCTGGCCAGTGTTTCCTCCTGAGCAGATACAGACCCTGCGTTCCCAGCAGGAACGCCCTCTTTATGCTGTGCTCTCTCAGTGTAGCCCACCAGGAGCAGCACAGATCCCCCACCCCACTGGCGATCTCAACCTGACGATGGAAAACACCACTTTACAGACTCAGATCTCATCACGTCACTCTCCTGGTTAAAGACTTTGCCGCTGGTTTCCTACTGGCCTTGGAAAAGCAACAGAGGACTGACCATGGCCTCCAGACACGGAACACTGCTGGCTGCTGCCCTCTCCCGTCAGTTCACCGCAACTGCCTGCAGTGTGCTCTGCTCTCACTTTCAGGTACACAGCAGGGTTTTGGTGTCTCAGGGTTTTTATTCAGGTTCCCTCAACGCATCCACCCAGTGGACACCCTTAGCAAATTTTCTAAGGGGTTGTACAGCTAAATCCTTAAGGTCACACCAGTTTGTGATATCTAACAGTAGAAAAGTTCATAACATGATTCTTCCAAAGACAAAAAAATTCATTATTTGGTATATCATCTGTTCGTTTGATTTATATATAGAACAAAGAAATGGTAGCTACAAACAGTTTATATTTGGGATAACTAGTAAAGAAAAACTAAATCTCACTGCCAAATGAAAGGCAAATGGCCCTATTGATCATGGAAATTTCATAAGAATTTACTGAACCACATGTTACCTTGCTGTATTCTCTAGCCGTGTGTGTGTGTGTGTGTGTGTGTGTGTGTGTGTGTGTGTGTGTGGGCGCGCGTGTGCGCGTGCATGTGCGTGTCCAGCGTTGCAAGGTATTTCAGGTTTAAACACTTATCTTTACATCACCAGTCAATATAGTTAAGTGATAAAGTCCTAGTCCATATTATGACAATGTATATAAATATTTGAAAGCACCATTTAAAATTTCACCATCTTAGCCGTTTGTGAATATACAATCAATGGAATGTCATACATTGGCAGTGTTGTGCATCCATCTATCTGTTAATAGTTTCAGATCATTTTTTTTCCTCTGAAGGAAACTCAGAACCCAGTAAAAAGTCACTTTCGTTTCCCTGTCCCCCAAGTCCCTGGCAAGCACTAATCTCCTTTTCACCTCTGTGGATTTGCCTGCTCTAGAGATTTCATATAAATGCACTCATATGATACGTGGCCTTTTGTGCTGGTTTCTTTCACTTAGGACGTTTTCAAGGTTCATCCATGTTGCAACATACATCAGTACTTCATTCCTTTTTTTCTGTATGATTAAATACATACAGCATTCACCGTTTTAACCATTTTTAAGCACACAGTTCAGTGACATTAACCACATGCGCATTGTTGTGTGGCCATCACCACCATCCATATCCAGAATTTCTTTCATCTGCCCCAAGTGGAACTCTGTACTCACTAAACACCCACTTCCTATTCCCTCTCCCCCCAGCCCCAGGAAACGACTCCAGGTACCTCATAAGTAGAGAATCCTGTATCTGTTCTTGTGTGGCTGGGTTGTTTCACTTAGCCTACTGACTCAAGGTTCATCCATGTTGTCACATATGTCAGAATTTCCTCATTTTTAAGGCTGAATAATATTTCATTGTGTGGATGGACCACGTTTCATTTATCTACTCATCTGTCAGTGGACACTTGTGTTACTTCCATCTTTTGGCACAGTGAATAATGCTGCCGTGAACGTGGATGTTCCAGTCCCTGGTTTCGCTTCTTTTGAGTAAATAGCCAGAAGTGGAATCACCGTGTTGTAAGTTAATTCCATGCTTAATTTTTGAGGTACTGCCATATTGTGTTCCATAGCAGCTGCTCCATTTTACTTTTCTCTTTCCTTTTTATGGCAGAATAATATATCAGGTTATGATATACCTAATTTTGCTTATCCATCCATCTGTTGATGGACATTTGGGTTGTCTGAACTTTTTGGCTATTGTGAACAGAGCCGCTGTAAATATTTATGTAGAAGTGTTTGTTTGAACACTTGTTTTCTAATCTTTGTAATATATAGTTTGGAATATCATTGTTGAGCCATGGTAATTCTTCTTGTAAGTGTTTGAGGAAACATTAAAATATTTTACACACAGGCTGTACCATTTTGTATTTCCACAATTGGTTTAAAGCTGTCCAATTTTTCTGCGTCATTGCCCAAATTTATTTTTAATTTTTTTTATTATAGGTTTTCTCTTGTGTGTGAGTGGGGATTACACGTACCATTATGGTTCTAATGTGAATTTCTATAATAACTAATAACGTGTAGCATCTTCTTATGCACTTGCTGGCTATTTGCTTGTCTCGTTTTGTGAAGTGTGTATTTTAAGATCTTCGTCGATTTTGTAATTGTGTTTT